AACAAGACAATGACCCTAAGCACACAGCTAAAATAACAAAGGAGTGGCTTCGGAACAACTCTGTGACCATTCTTGACTGGCCCAGCCAGAGTCCTGACCTAAACCCAATTGAGCATCTCTGGAGAGACCTGAAAATGGCTGTCCACCAACGTTCACCATCCAACTTGATGGAACTGGAGAGGATCTGCAAGGAAGAATGGCAGAGGATCCCCAAATCCAGGTGTGAAAAACTTGTTGCATCATTCCCAAGAAGACTCATGGCTGTACTAGCTCAAAAGGGTGCTTCTACTCAACACTGAGCAAAGGGTCTGAATACTTATGACCATGTGATATTTCAGTTTTTCTTTTTTAATAAATTTGCAGAAATTTCTACATTTGTTTTTTTCTGTCAAGATGGGGTGCTGAGTGTACATTAATGAGAAATAAAATGAACTTTTTTGATTTTAGCAAATGGCTGCAATGAAACAAAGAGTGAAACATTTAAAGGGGTCTGAATACTTTCCGTACCCACTATATATATATATTAATTTGCAGAAGGAACAGGATCACAGCAGAGTTCATGACGTACTGATCTCCTCAGAAATATAAAAATACACACTGAAATGCTTATGTTTTGGAAAACATGCCGATATTTTGCGGCCACCTGGTTTGAGAAAATGTGGCGAGTCATGCAAGTAACAATATTTTGTTAGCATTTTTGTAAGTGCGTGTGTGGATGCACGCATGTGCATGGATCCCACTTGTGTGATGCGATGATGAACGTCTGTCTCCCAGTGGGCCTTTCTCAAGGCGTAACGTCACCAGCAACGCCAAGCGCTGCCAAGGAGGGTGCGTTTGCACGTGTCTGTGCTTGCACACTTAAGCCTTCCAAATGTTCTCGCCTGCGAAGAGATCCAAGTACATGACTCAAACGTCACACCTCTTCTGTTGCTATCTTTCTGTCTCCCTCACATTTACACAAATACTCATTTTCAGCTCATTCTGTCAACAGCAAGCTCTGTTTTCCATCCCATATTGGCATGAATGACTTTTCACCCTTTTCTGCCTTTTTGTTACACACCCACTACAGTAAATGGCCTTAGACACAATCATGCATGTGATGGGTGGGATAATTGTGGGACGTTGTGTGTGATGGGATAATAACCATCACACACAACGTCAGATATCACCATAGAGTGTAGAAACATAACGAGCTTCGTTAAAGCCTGACTTGTGGCATAGTTACAAAAAGAACATACAGTGTTTGCTGTTAACGTTGAAACAAAGCAGTCAAACTTCACATTTCATATAAATCTGTTCTTGCCAAAATGTTTAACTACAGCTGATCATTTTGTTTAGGTAATTCAACTTCCCACTAAGAACACATGAATAGCCCTCATTTAAAGCATCAGCTTCTAAAGGTTGTAAAATGAACTAATAGCATATCAGCCAAAGTTATTACCTCGCTGTGTTCATGTGAACGAGGCTGGACAGACCAGGGACTGGGAAGCAGGGTTAAAGGAAGCGCTATTGCGCTTGCTTTATGGGCCCGGTGATCAAGGAGAGGTAAAAGACGTTGTACGAATAGTCAAACAAATGCTTTCTATTTTAAAATGTTCTATTGTATATCGGCCACCATCTATTCACGCATACCAAAAAGTCAGGCTGAGCGCAACCAAAGAGCAACTGAGTGGACACCATCCCTTTTTTTACAGCACCGTCTGCTGTAAGCCTCCAACAATGCAGCTCCAGTAACACTGTGCATGTGCCATACCTCTATAGCTCAAGACCGTGTCTTAGCCTTCATTCAATAGGAATCGCCAGTGATGGGGAAGATCGCCGGAAGATCCGGGTATTTTCATCTGAATTCTGTACTTGTATGTCAAACTTTCTTCACTTAATACCCGTCTGAGCAACTTTCAAAGGAATGAACAGGTTTATCCAATTCTCTTTATTCGTCAACAAGTGAGTCAGCATCCATCTTAGTTAAGTTTGACTGACTTGCATTGGTGGGAGCTCTGAATGTTCATTACAACTTGGTGGCTGTGCCGAAGCACTTTCACCAACAAGCCTTATATTATTCTGTGTTCTGTCTTATATCTGTGGATATCTCATAAGCAGAGAGTCCTGGCATTCTTCATGTATCTGTCTTATAGCACGGAGCTCTTTGGTCATATATAAATATTGACTCATTGTGATAATTACTATGTCAATGTTTTTGGAAGATTTATGTTATATGTTTCATGTTTTAAAGTAAAACTCAGAGTAAACAATCAACATGTAGACTGTAAACGTGGAGACCGCCTCAGTAGATCTTTATGAATTGTATCATAAATGTTGTATTTTAGTGTATTTGTAATGGTGACATTGCCTTTAAAATCTTCATTTATTGCATCTCCATTTACTCTGAAAAGGTAATAGAAAATAGGTTTACTTACAGTGGATTCATTTAGATTCCTTAGCTCCTTACCTTTAAAAGGAGACCAGAAAAATGCATTTAAGCCTTATGGTTGAGAAGCTATTTCTGATTCATTTTGGGTAAGTTATTTTAGACGTTTTTATCTGTAGGATAGGGCTGAATAGCTAAGATGCTGTTTGTTGTTTTGAGTTGCATTTTATTGGACAGGTGTTGTTTATAAGTGTATACTATCCACCCCTTGTGTATGTGTCCATATGTCCTTATATGGATCCATTCACCTGCATAAACAAGAAATAACATGCACCAACTACGACAGTGCTTCATGGCTGCACACCAGATCAAAAGAATTTCTCTCATGTTGCTTGTTGCAGCAACCAACCTTTGTTCTCATCTCTCTGATATGAAAAATAGTTTGATTCCTACCAACTTTGAAAAAGAACAAAAGGAGAACTATGAAAAAGATGTGTGCACTAAGGGCTCCTTCCTGAAGAAATTGCAATGGAATTATGTGAATAATTTAAAAAGAAAACACAAGTAAAAAGAAATGTAGAAAGGGATCATAGACATAATTTAGCCAACCAAACAGGCAAATAACAAATGTGAAGATAGAAGTGACACATATATAGTTTCCTCTGTGAACTGGTGAATGAAAATCAATGAATCAGAAGAGCTTGTCGGCTCATGTTGGAAGATATATGTTAGAAAGACAAACTGAAAAGATTGCAAATGGAGAGCAGAGGACATGACGTCAAGGGCGCTTTAGAGAATGAGGGTGTGTGTGAAAGCAAGACTGCAGAGGCCTGGTGACACAAAGTGAAAGATGTCAGATTTCTTATACAAGCGTCTGAGAGGATGCAAAAATCAACTCCTGAACACATAACAGGGTGAACAACATGCAAAGTGCGTATGTGCATGAGAGAGTGAGAAGTTGTTTGCACGGTTGTGAATATGTTTGTGTGTGTGTGTGTAAGGGAGGGAGAGAGAGAAAATAATAAAGAGGGATGATGGCGCAGCATGTGGAGGCAAGTTGTGACAAAGTAGTGACGCATTTGAACAAGCTCGCAGCAACCAGCCCCCTCTCATCTCTGTTGGGCTCCCGGTCTTCTCATGAATAAACTGGGAATAATTCATATTCATGATACTGTAGCTTCCACAGATACGTTCACATCCCGCCCCCGACTGTGTCTGAGTGAGTGACATGGAATTTGTCCAATCGAATCCAAACAGTTTATATGTACTCGATGAAGAAGGTGCGTCATGGAATTCTTCTGCCACACAAATGCTTTGAGACCAATTGGAATGAGGAGGACGAGCTGTCTGATGGGTTTGTTTCATCCTTATATGGGCATGACAAGCTGAGAGTCCACTGAGTGAGCTCCATGCTACACTGTGTGTGTGTGTGTGTGTGTGTGTGTGTGTGTGTGTTTGCAGTGTGAGCTTGTGACTTTTGTATGCAACAGCTTTCAGTTTGCTTTGTTGTCCGTCTGCTCAGACTGAAGTCTGGTACAGACATACTGTTTGACAAAGTGAAAATTAGTAAGGATATGGTCCCATAATTTTATAACATGTCCTTTTAGCATATATCGTCCTTTGCCTGCCAAATAATTGTGTTAGCATATTTACCTGCCTGCCCAATCACTCTACGCAGGATGCAAAGTTCCCTTGACAACAACAAAATCAAATGTTACTTGTTAACCACTAAATGAACTGAAAATATCACCTAACCCTCATCCTATCATAATAACAGTTTTCATCAGAACTACTTTCTACTGAATAAATAGTCCCTACGAAAAACCTGGACATTGTAACAATTTGCTATTGCGTTTGAAGACATGCTAGCTACATGACTCTATGAAGGTCCAGCACCACAAGTATCCTCTTGATTTGACTAACTCGGACTGCAAAAGCCTCATAGTAGCTTCGGTTCAATTATTGAATGCATTTTTGCACAGAGTAAGGACAGTGGATTTTCCCCCTTTGCTTACATTGGGATTGCGTTAAGAAGGCATCTCTTGACCACTAGTGTGACAAAGAGGAATGCTGATTACAACAGACTACAACCTTTACGATGTACATATGTGCACATGAGAGTACTACAATGTGAACCTGGTGGTTCCATGTGTGTAAAACTCAATGTAAGTTGTCATCAAGTTTCTCTTTACTTTTAGGCAGAAATAATCACATTTACATCAGAGTTTTAAGAGATTGTGGCATAGTGAGTTTGGATCAAACTGTGTTTAAAAAACAACTAGTTAAAATCTTTATAATTTAATATCTACATAGGATGCTCAACAATCAATATTTAATTACAATTATAGTTGGCAAGAGCAGGTGTTATTCATGTCGTTGGAGCACTGAAACTTACAGGGTCAATGTGCTCGAAATCTCTGTGCTTGTGCAGTTTTCAATTCCACACTTCCTGTTCTCCTTTTTTTCGCAGCTCAACAGTTTCACAGTTGAGAAAGCTGGACAACTGCCTGGAGGACTTACACAATGTCGTGTGTGTGTGTGTGTGTGTGTGTGTGTGTGTGTGTGTGTGTGTGTG